TATTCTCGTTCAATAACTTTACCAATTGTTTGAGCACTTGAAAATAAATCACTTATCTATAAAAAAAATTAATAACTTAAAGATGTTTACTAATTTATTTCACATTTAAATGTTATATCTACCTCTTCGAACGTCAACTCACTAAATCTAGGAACTACTCGAAACGGCGCGACTAAAACATCTAAAGAAAATATGTTTGTTGAATATGATAGATAAATTAAAATGATAAATATGTTAAAAAAACTTACGTCCACTAGTACAAATAATATTTATTATACATAGTTGTTATAGATGGAATGTCTTAAAAAAAAAAAAAAAGATACTTACGGAAGAACTGGCTTCAAATTAACAAAAGCGAAACATAATTTTGAGAAATGAAAGATTTCGCTTGAACGTATTAAATGTGGCCCAAATGCATATGTCATTTTTAAAAGAACATAATCCTAGCTAAATGTGCGCCTGGAGAAGGTGCGCATTTATATAGAATTAGTATGGCAGTTAAAAATTTAGTTTACCCAAAAAAGGAATTAAGTTTAGGTTAGATCGAGATATATAGTTATACGTATATAAACAAATTGCCCTCCCGACATTTTTAATTCATCCTTTAAAGGGTAGAGTGTATATAGATTATTTATTATATGATTTTAGTAGCGCAATCAGATTTATATAGTAAATAAAATATACTACTTATAAAACTTCTTACATTATAATTATTTTTAGCCAAAATTTTATAATATATAGAACAAAATAATTTTTTTTATAATAATAAAATTTTAATAAATAAAAATTTTTTAAAAAATTATACTTCTATATATTGTAAAATTTTTTCTAGTTAATTTAAATTTTCTACAGTATTTATACAAAATAATTAATTTTGATTATATAGTTAATATTATATAACAATTATATGATTTTTGTAAACAAATTTTGATATCTAAAATTTAAATATTTGTATTTTGATAAATTAACCAATTTTAATAAATTTACTTTATAATAATTAAAAAAGTTTATTTTATAATGTTACTTAATACAGTAGATACTGTCTAATTGCATACTGTCTAATTGCATATACTCTCTAAGTGCATAAAAAAATTTTGCTTTTAATTATTAACACCAAAATGGTTCTTATGATTTAAATGCATATACTGTCTATATGCATAAAAAAGTCTCTAACGGATGGCATGCAATTAGACAGTATCGACTGTAGCTTTAAAATAAGAATAAAACTAGTCAGTACCTTGTGTACTTAATGCTCCCTATTATAAAATTGCTAATATCTCAAAATTTTAACTAGATAATCTTGTTGTATAAGCAAAAATGTTTTTTTTTGCGATTTTACTTTACTTTAACTCTAATTATAATTATAATTCTACTTATAATTTAATCTTAATTTATATTGCAGGCTTAATTTTGCTATAGGGTACTGTTTAGATTTTTTCTTAAAATAATTTATTTAAAAAATTTTACAAAATTTTTATATAATTTACAATTTATATTCTCTATTTTTAAATCTTTATTTTTTGTATTTTTATATAGATAGATTTATTTCTAATTACTTTTTTATAATTCGGCAATCCTGCCTCTGTTTATTTGAGATTAAGCTATTCAAGAATTAAACATTTCTATCTGTAACTATTGCTAATCTAACCAAACTAGAGCCTCACTCCTGGCTTTCGCTCAGGTGCAACCTGCCTCAGTAGTCCTTGGCCTTTCTCTGGATCTTTAACTCACTAAAGATTTATTTCCTCTTGGTCATTGGCTGGCGACTACCTGCCTTGTCAGTACTATCTAATTATATTTATATTTCACAATGTAATTACACTTTGGCCATATCTAATACTTGCAAACAATGCAAAACATCGAATCGCTAATCTTAAAATAAGATTATTACGTTGTGTATTTTCTATTCTATAAATTTTAAAAATTTTGCTACTACTTAATTTCTTCTATAATCTTCTATAATTACTCTAATTCATCTTTTCATACTTCATTTCTTTTCCTTCTACTGGTAGTCTGCTCTGGTGTTTCAATCTTCTACTTTCTTCCTTTTTTTTGTGTTTCTTCCAGTTTCTAAATTTCACTTTATTCTTCTTACTCTTGATCGTATTCTTCATACAGATTTCCTTCAGAAGTATTCATTTGCAACTTTTTCCTTCTTCTAGTTTCTTCAATATTACTTTGGATTCTTCTACTTCTAGATCTTGGTTAGCTTGTTCAGGTCCTTCTTTACTTTTTTGTTAAAACTTTGTGCTTTCTTTCTTTTTTTTACTCCATAGTTCTGCATTTCTTCTAATAAGTATCTTTTGAGATCTAGAAAACCTTCCTACTATTTCAGACGAGAAGTTCTTCTTTTTTCTTTTCTAATTTTTGACTGTTTGAAACTGTATATCTGCTTTCTCTTTTTTATTCCATAAGCTTGCTTTTCTTCTGTATGGCTTCTTTTGCAGTTTAAAGTACTTCTCTCAATTTCTGGCTACTTCCCTTATAATTCTTCTTGCTATTTTAAACCTGGTGTTTTTTTTTTTTTTTTTTCAATTCTTAACTTCTATTGTTCTTCCTGTTGTTGTTTCTTGGATGATATTTTCTTTATTTGTACTGGTGTTCGTTACTAATCTAATTCATCTACTCTATTCATCCAAGGTTTCTTTTTTTTCTTTTTCCAATCTTTAATATTATCTTGGCTACTTTCTAAGTTTACTTAATATATAAACTTTACTATCCACTTTAGTATTTTTCTTTGTAGATTTTTAAATTGTATATTGCTGAAATTTTCCTTTTCTATTAAGGTTTTATCTAAATTCTTGGTCTTGATTCTTCAGTTAGTTTGTTTAAAGTTTCCTTTTCTATAAGGCCTTCAACATCTCTTCCTATGTTTCTTTTCTTCAATATTTCTTCATTTTCTTTGGCTTCTTTATGTTTTTGTTTCAGCAGCTTTGCTTTCTGTTGAACTTGCATCTTCTTTATTTTCTTTCTAATTGTATTTTCCTTTTTCCTTTCATGTTGTTTTATTTCTATTAATTCTACTGATTCTCTAAAGTGCTGTAATAATAGTCCTAAATTTATTTTGTTATGCTGCCTTTGTCAACGACACTTTCTCAGTTTATCTAGTCTTTTCATCCATCCTGCTTCTATTCTAGCTTGTACGTACTTGACGGTCATTCTTTCTTTATTACATGCAAACAACCTTTCTCTTTCTGCTATGCATAGGTTTTTTATAGTACTGATTACTTTGTCTAATAGGATGTGTTCTGTTGGATCAATTTCTAACTATATTGTCTCTTGATATAATATATCATTTCTTTTACTAAATGCAAGTTCTATATATTTAATTCTTTTTGCTCTATATTGTCTTAATTTTATATGTATTGCTGCTATTCATTCCTCTGCTTGTTCTGCTGTTGTAGGTTTAATTCTAACATTTTCTATTGTTTTTTGTTTCATGTGACTAATTTGTTGTTGTGTTTGTATATCATCTTTGTTTCCATCCATCATGTGTTTTTTAACATGTTTTCTTTGTTTATTCTTTATTACGTATTGTGTATATTGTGTGACAGTAACTGATCTGCATTACAGGATCAAGGCCAATCCCCAAATGACTTGCAAAAGGTAAAATTATCGATTTTTCTAGTTTTTTACTATATCTTTGCCGCTTCTGCTTTATTTACTCAAGTTTCTTAAGAGACTGAGTATTATTTTTAGTCTTCTTGCTTTTTTCTTAAAGCTACAAGTCTTGTTTTCTATAGCTATTTGTGTGTTTCTGTTGTTTTTTGTCGTTATTTTGTTTTTGTATTTTTGTGTACAAAGGATCAGTGGGGAGAGTTCGCTAATTTATTTCTAATTACAAAAAATATAATTATTAAAATATTAATATTAATTAGTTGATTTATTTAATATAATAATAAAATTTAAAGTATTATATAAATAAAATAATATTTTTTTCTAAATATATAATAGTCAAATTTAAAAAAATAAAAAAAAATAAAAAATAAACAATAAAAAGAGAATTGGTATTTCCACATCCTTTTTTGATAATGCCACACCTATACTCACCTGACCAACCTTTTTTTTTTATTTTAATTATAAAAATATGTAGAATTCAAAGAAAAAAAGTTAATCAAAATTTGGTCAGATGGATGTTGAGATATCTTCGATGAATGTTTTGTAAAATTCTAAATATCTATCAAATATAAGCTGCGGCAAAAATTGTTTTCAAACTTTGATCGAAGATGTCTTGGCACCTACCTGACAAAATTTGATCAACTTTTTTTTTATTTTAATTGTAAAATACTGTAGAATTCAAAGAAAAAAAATTAATCAAATTTGGTTAGATGAATGTTGAAATATCTTCGATCAAAGTTAAAAAATTTTTAAAAAATTTTTTTAAAAAATTAAAATGATCTACATGGGTGTGGCATTATCAAACAGTAATATTTGGATATTTTTAAATATTTGAACAATAAATAAATCTAATTTATTTAAAATTTTATTATAATAACCTGGATCTACTTCCAATTTTGAGAATTTAAATTAGAGTTTTTTAAAGTTTGCTTTTTTTAACCTTTAAAAGAAAATAACTTCTTGACCAAATTCGATGAGTTTTTTTTTTATTTGAATACTACAGACTCGTAGAATTCTAATAAAAAAATTTGGTCGGGTGGTCTTCGATTAAAGTTTTTTGAAAAAGTGCTTTACATGGGTGTGGAAATATCAAAAAAGGGGTGTGGACATATCAGTGCCTTATTATATTACAAAATAGTATTATAAAATAGAATTATTATATTATAAAATAGGATTATTATATTTAAAAAATAGTATTATTATATTAAAGAGCAGTGTCCTGTACTGTAGTTAAAAAAAATTATAAAATCTGCAGTTAGAAAGAGATTACACCGTTATTGTAGATCAGCGTCAATTTAATAGTCAAAACATAGAAGCTCAACTCTCGAACCAGGCATTTAGAGAGAGTTTATATAGTGCATGCAAGAATCCTGTGCCAGGTTTTATGGATCATGATCGACATCTATGAAAAAAAAAACAGATTCCTCTCATTATTTTGGTATAAACTTTATTTTAATCCTCAGCTAACCTAACCTAACCCAAAATTTAATCTTAAAATCAGCTTAATAACCTGGTACAAATTTCTTGCGTGTCAACTTTCTTTGGAAACGACGTTTGTTATTTATCTATTTTATTTTTATTTTTACTTCAGGACACTTTTATGTAAAAAAACACAACATAGAATACGAGCGTAATTTACATTTATTATTAACAGATCTAATTTTTTGAGGTAATAACCAATTAAGCCAGCTCAGCCGTATCAAATTATCGACTCGGTTTTAAACTTAGTTTTTAATCAATTACAATCATTAATTACTGTGTTGTTGAAGAAAAGTACGTTTCAACTTGCTTAACCAAATCATCTTTTTTCTTTGCTGGCTTAATTCCAACGCTGTTTAGAAAATCTTTTAACTGAACCACAGTAGCCTTTATAATTAATGATAATTAATGATAGGTGACAATAACTAGTTAATAGGTAAAATGGATAAACTTAGAGATTAAGAAAAATAATCTAACCTTTGATACCTACAAAGAATTTTTTTTTTTAATAAATGAAAGGGTTTTTTGTTCTAAAATGACATTATGGGTCATAATAATTGTCACGGCTGAAGTTTGAAATTAAGGACCTTGATTTAAAAATATAAACTCTACCAAAATCCACTTATACTCTTTTATTATCAAAACCAACCCTAAAACCTAATCTAACTATTAAAAAAATACTAAAAAAATGCACCCAAAATTTTCTAAAAATTTCATATTAAAATAGTTAAAATTTTAAGCTTCAGCCGCTACAATAATTATTATATCCCATAAGGTCATCTTCAAGGCAAAGAGCAAAATAAATTTATTTAATAATTGATAATATAATAGCTGTACCTTCCCAGACTCGTATAAAGTTGAAATGTCAGCTTGAGATCCCTGTGAAGAAGCCATAGATCTAGATCCTTTGAATGATGATGCTCTGTAAGAACCAACAGACTCCGAGTCTGTTTGGCTTGGAAGCGTTTCTTGACTTTGGGTTTTTGCTTCTTCGTTAAAGACCTTAATGAACTCACCGGCACGCTTTAATGAAGTGCAGTATATTTTTTTACTTTAAATCTTAATGAATTTGGCATAAATACGCTTGAAAGCAAACCTTGTTGATTGCGTTATACTTAGGTAAAGTTGCATCATTCGTTTCTGGTTCAATATCTTTGTTTAGAGCCATGTCTTGTAGAACATTGAAGAATCGATTCAAATCTAAACAATAAAAATAACGTTTTAGCACATGGATTGGTACAATTATTATTGAAACACAAGAAAACTTGCATGGATTTGGGAATTGGGAAGGGTTGTAGCCACCCTTCATCTGAAGGTTCTTAATTATCGGTTTAACAAAATCAATCATCATATCGGGGGCTATTTGATAAAAGTGTAAACATAATATTGTAAATAATTTTAATGTTTATAAATATAAATGGCATGATAACTTATAAAATAATTACCAGGAGATATTTCTGCGTGAACTGGAACGGGTCGCATATCGTCTGCAAACGGAAGACTAATCATATTCATACCCGGAGGTTGAATTTGCAGACCATTTTCATCAAGAATTTCAGGCTGAAATTACAATTATTTAATCAAAGGTTTTTAAATTATAAAGCTATATTTTAAAATATTTAACAATCATACTTGAGCTTTTAGAGCAACAAATGTAAAAGGAGTTCCATTGCGAATTTTTGCGGCACATATAGCAATTTTATCTTTTTCGATCATTTTCTTATGTAAAGCTGCAAAAGTCCTTCTACTACCTTCATATTGCTGATATCATTCAAGAGACAATTAGAAATAGGAATAATTTTTAATGATTAAATTATAGGATTTAATGCTCACTTCTTCATCAGGATATATAAAATATGGGTGTGCAATATTGTAGTGATATTTAAGTGCACTTGCAGGTTTAAATCCAATAAGTGTTAAACCTATATGATAGAAAAGATGACAGTAATTAAAAAATATATTTAATATCTTATCTTATTTTGTCATAATTACCTTTTTCACCAAAGTCTCTGATTTTTGATAATTCCTCTTTCGTAAAGACAATCTTCGTTGGAAGCATTGAAATAAGATTGAATTTCGCAAAGTCTATATTTTATATATAAACTAAATTTTTATACGCACAAACCTTTTCGCCTCCGTATGAAAAACATAACTTCATATCTTCAGGCATTAATTCTTGAGCAGTGTCCTATGACAATGGAGCAAGATTAATTAAAAATATGTATAAATGTTTAACGCTTTCAAATTTTATTACCGCACAAATCCATTTTGTCTTTGTTTCAACAACGCGTGTTGTCTCAGCTTTCATATGAACTAATTTATGCGTAGGCTTTGTTCTTTCAACTATCATCGAAAAGCTATATATATTATATATAAAATATTTATAAAGTGTATGATATAGAATAAATATTGTAAGGTTTATACTCGAGATGTTGGTGAAATTAATTTCACAAATAGTGATGAAATTATTTAACCATGCACCAGCATCTTTAGTTTAGATTTAATTGAATTATCTATCATTTACCCTCTGATCCCAATTGTCAACCCTTCACCTTCAAATAAGCGGAATGGCAGAGAAAATAAAGATCTCCTTGGAGTTTCTTTATTCATAATTTGAGTCAAAAGGACATTAAAGTCTTTTGTTGCATTAAAGTGAAGATTTTCTCCAAAGTCATCTTTGGAAACAATTTTCTATAAAAACAATGAAAATTGACTATTATGAAATATCAAGAAAATAAATTAAAAAATTAAATAAAATAAAAGATTTGTTCATAAACAAACCGAATAGAAAGCATCAAAGTCGAATTGTTCGTCTGATTGACTGACACTAAAAAGGTTTATCTCTATTTTTGATTCAACAAGGTCCTTTAAATAATAAAATTATATAGTGAGCTGATACATGTTAGATTAAAGATTATAATTTTAATCCAAAATACGATCAAATAAACCTTAGCACGGGTAATTGCTGTGCTAAAAAGGACAGGATTATTTGCATGTGGGTTATCTTGATCAGTGATGAGAAATATTCTTTTAATCTTAACCGTTGAAGTAGAACTAATGAAAAGAAAAATTTTAAACTAAATGTAAAAAGTATTTCGAAAGAATAGTATTTTACAAAAAGAAACAGACGAACAGTGAATTGAATAAATCATTGCAAGTCCAAAAGACATCTCCTAATGGAACTTCGTTGTCAGTATTTCCGTATTCCTGACTAAAATCAATTTGCCCTGGTTTTTATAATACTAATTAATAGATATATAATAAGAAATTTAATATGTTATAAGTCATACCTGATACTATGTCATTTAATTCTATTATTCTGTGGATATCTGGTAAATCAATGGGTTGAAGCACATAAATGTGCATTTTTTCAAGTGCATTTTGTGATTTTTCCTATTAAGTAGTGATGCATAATAAAAACCTCGGATAACAAAAATGCTTTATTTAGAAAGTAATATTTGATTACCGTTCCAAATAGCACTACACCCATAAGGTCATAATCATTGCTGGTAATTATTTTGTTCATCATCACAGAAGAAGCACATCGAATAGCGGATTTAAATGGAGAATCATCGCCGCTCATCATTGACGGAGAGCAATCGATAACAAAAAGAACAGCATCCCTGTTACTGTTTGCAAGCTGACGCGTAATTTAAATCAATATGGAATAATAGAACTGGCAAAAGACACGAAAGTGTGGTCGGAAATTACTTGTTTTTCGACTTCTTCAACTTCTTCCAGTTCGAAATCACCAGCATTACTTTCATTCGCAACTGACGAAGAACTACTAATCGTTGCTGTAGATGACATTTTTGTTTAGTGAAGAGTCGAAATTAGGCAAATTAGACACGGGTCTTGATTATGCCATTATATACTGGCATTATCACGTGCTTAGCTATTGTTGTACAACTACCCAAGTTTCTGATTGGCTAGAATAGTTTATATGTCATCTTCTTTGGGTTATTAATAGAGTTAGTTGTTCTAAAATTTTGAAATTTTTTTTACTAGTGCACAAAAATGATTTCTTAGGCGAAATTTTGAGATTAATGTGATTTTTCAAAAACCAAGTGATTGTTTTTAAGATTCTATACATGTATAAGAATTATTTGATAAAGCATTACATTTACGCACTAAATATGACCTGTATACATATAATCTTATTATCTATATTATTATAATTAGATGCTTAATTACTAATATATATAATAATAAATCGCTTTTTATTCGCTTGTAATTAATAATCTTATCTGAAAGGAACTCTTGCAGGACATCCATAGCTTTAATGATTTGAACAATAATGACAAGTTGCGCTACGGTACCTAATAACATTACTTGTTATATAATAATCCAAAACTTTTCTTTGTTTTTTCTGAATATGTTTCAGTTTGTATGGTTTATATTTGTATAGGTTGATTCATCGATCATATTAGAAGTTCGAAAATAATTTATTGTATCATGGATAGGTTTAATAGATTATATGATATATCAATGATCAGAATTTATAATTATTAACCAAAAATATTTTTGTAAATTATTTTAGCGGTTAAATTTAATTAAGTTGGCAACGCTATTCGTGACAAAGAGCGTTCTCAAATGCCTTAACTAATGAGTCAAAAGTGTTGGTGAATAAATTTTACGTAGCGAAAAATATTTTAATGTGATGAATATTTAAATGAAAATTGTAATTTATAAGGTTTATTACGCGAATAAAATATTTTCATTAGTAAAACAAACGTTAAGTGAAAACCATCTTTTTTTTATACCATTAATTAAGCGTTTAAAAAGATCACTCAAGTAACTTTGTCATGGATCCAACTTTCATCATTAACGAATTATTATTTTACAAATGCTTACCATCTCTTAGTCTTCACTTATATGTCAACAAATGCACTATCGCTATTTTGCCGATAATTTCTTCATTTGGTACAACCGAACTAAACCTAGTGACGACATTTAAATAAAAAAATATCATGAATCGCTCAAGTATCATTATTTTGATAATAATAAATAAACATCGTCACGTTTACTAGCTAATCCATAATTTGCATATTCGAATTGGCATCAAAATTTAATAATATGAGTGCTGCAGAATAAAAACCTGGAAGTGAATATTTAAGTTTTCACTGTGACAAACTTAAAACCTTGAAACATTATGATGTTTGATATTGATGATCGGTGTTTGATTTTTCATTTCAACAAAACTTAAATATTCACACTCATGTAAGTATAATTATAGTTGTGCGTTATTACGATCATTAGCTAATCACATCGGGTTGAGGCAGGGCTAAAACGACACATAGTAAATGTCAGCCATTTACTGCGCCATTGCTTATTGTTTAAAGTATCTTTCTTGATACTGCATCAAAATTATAATATAATGTGAATCAAGAATGACACTTATTGAATGGCAGGCATTTACTATGTGTCGTTTTAGCCCTGGGTTGAGGTTTGAGAAGCCCAAAATCTAAGTTTCGTGACTAACGTTTATGAATTCTGCATCAGTTATACATTATAAATTATGAATTCTGCGTACTAATTTTCAAAAATTTTAGTTCGAACATGCTTAGTGATGGGAATTGTAAAAATTAATAAGGAATTGTTAAACATTTAACAAATTAATTAATTAAAATTATATTTAATCGCTGATAATATCGTTCTATCGATGACTTCTATGCATTTGGGTAATTCAATTATATAATTGCTCAAAAACATTTATTAATTTAACAATTCCCTAATAACAATTAAGAATTAGAAAGTCCCATCACTAACCTTTGCTCGTGTTCTTTTATTTTCTACGTCGGGACAATTAGAATGTTTAATTAAAAATTACATAAATCTCCACCTGTGATATTTCCGTGCTATTTCTCTACAATTCCGTTCCATCCTTGACACATTCAGTGATTTCTGCAGCATTCCATGAAACGCAGAAAATTATCAGCCCTGCACATTTATGTCTGGGTTTGGAATGGTTTTTTAATCTGAAAAACATTATTATTGCTATCTTTATACAGGTATAGATACCGATAGTATTTACTGTGAAGTTGTCGTTATATAACTTTTTATATAAATTTTTGCTATAGAGATGGAGATTAATATCAAAGTAGAATATTTCAAAAAGTAAAAAAGAAATTTTTTTCAGAGACAGTTTCTTAAACAAAAAAAAAACTTTTGTACAAAGAAAATTTGCATTATGCCTAATCTTATAATTTAATTGGTCAATTGTGTGGTTAACATTATAAAAATTATTGCATTTAAGCTTATATATTTTTCAGCAAGAACCAAAGTTCTTTATACTGTAGTAACTTTTATTAAGTAACTAATAAGGCAAACTTTTTCATGTATAGCGAAAATTAGTGTTAAATATAATTTATAATACATATATAGTATCATACAAAATATACATGTGGCCAAAATCATTTCGGCTTATTCGAAACTAGTTACGACATAAGCTGTAATAATTTCGAAACAAGCCGAAATAATTTCGACACATGTATAATATAAAAGTATCAACCGAGTTTTTGGTAGGGTCTTTTTAAATAGATACATTCTTTACCCATTTTATACTTTATTAACAGATAAATTTACCGATCTCTAAATACGAACTTATTAAAGCGAATAATTTATTAAAAAAATATTTTTACCATTAATTTGTAATAATAATTCCTTTGAATATTAGAAATATAGTTGTTAAGTGAATGTAACTAAAATTGACTGATGCTGAAATTTTAGATTCAACATTTACATTTACAATGCCCACTAAAATCTGTATATACTCTTTTGTTAACTCTAACTCTAAATTCTAACCTATTCCTAAAAAAAGGACTACGAAAAAGACTCCTGAAAAGTTCTAAAATTTCATAAGAGGTAAAATTTAGGATCAACCAATTTCAGCTTCAGCTGCCACAAGTAATTAATCTCATAAAATATTTTATCTAAAAAAAAATCTAATGACTTGTATTATGGTATTATGCTATATTTAACAAACTCTGCTATAGGTACAGTATAATTTATAAATTCATGAACCTTTATCTCTATCGGCAACCTGGCACATCTTTTAACAATATAAAGCAATGTTAATTATCATCTTACGGATTAAAAAAAAGAGGATCTAAATAACTATATTATCACCTTTCTATATTTTTGATATGGAAATGTGGGCGCAATATCAATATCATCTGCAGGAAACAACCATTCTAAAAATCTCCAAAATAAATAATCAACTGCCATTACTATACAAAAAATTTTTCCAGCCCATATACCACATCCGTAATATCTTTAGGAATTATAATTCAGAAAATATTTTAAATTTGATTAATTGCTAACCAAAATAATCAACTAAAACTTTATAAAAAAAATAAAATTAAATAGCGTGTATTTAATACCTTCGCAACCTTTCCATCAAAGGTGGTATTTTTAATTTCCATATATTGTCATAAACCTTATTAAGACAAAGAAAGCTAAGCATTAATATCTTTATTTTCGTTGATTTAGAAAGTGGCGTACAAATTCATTTTGAGAAAATTTACCTTTTCGGTTCGCTCAGCAACATTACTCCAACTATACATTTCTTTAATCTCATCATGAAATTTTGTTGGTACAGCCTCTTTATGTCTGATCATTTTAATAGCTTTTGACACTGCATCAACAAGATCTGTTGCAAACCAGAAGAAATAGTTATAAAACTCCAATTGTCTTATATTTACCAAATGTTTTGTAAATAATGTTATTGTTATGATGAAAGAGCACCTTCTTCCTCAGGCTTAGAAAAAATAATCATGTGTCTAGGTAGAACTTCTGGCACACCACCAACTTTTGTGCTCACAACAAGTAACCTTTGGTGTAGTAAAAATTTCTCTATTATAAATTTTTCTTTAAATATTTGTATTTTGAATTTACATATTTTATTACATACCCACAACAAGCTGCTTCAACCATACCAATACAGAATGCTTCAGTTAAACTGGTGTTCAAAAAAATGTGACCTTTTGTCAAAACCTGAAATAAAGTAATGTATAATTGTAAACTATTTGATGCGACACATGAGCAAAACCAAGTATGGATTTTTTTCCTTACACTATGTACTTCATGATGCATAACTGGACCGATAAATTCAACACGATCATGAAGCGAATTTTTTTCCCTCATTTGTTCTAAATCGATTCTCTTTGGTCCATCACCACCTTTATAAGACTTTTTCAGTAAAATTTTCTGAGAAATATCACAGTAGTAAAATGATTCTGGCTTTACCAATTATAAATCGTACTTTAGGATCTGCTTTACATATTCTAGGTATAACCGCAACAAGTAAATCCATGCCCTTTCTATATACTAGTCGACTTGCTACAACGATAGTGACTTAAATAATTGCATTAAAAAAAAAAAATAGGGATTATATAAGTAATTTGTTATGGTAATGAGCTACTAGAAACAGTTCTTTAATTAAAAAAGAAAATACCGAACTAAAATTTTTATCTTGTGCACTGGGATTCGGCTTAAACTGTGATGTAACCACAGCATTCGGGATGACTGATACCATTTGAGGAGTCAAAGCTGCCCTTAAAACCGTATTTTCCTTACTAAATTTTAAATATTGCAATTCAAATTAATTCAAATTAATTCAAATTAATTCAAATTAATTCAAATTAATGACAAACGAACGATGTAAATTAAAAACAATCAATCATGTATTTGGAATCTTATTCACTAACCTCGTATGACTAACACATATAACATGATCGATATCACTAAGTGTAAATTTTAATACTTTATTCATCAGAATACTACTTGCATCCGCAAATCCAAATAAACTATGATCAGTAAAACAAGCTCTCATTCCCATCGTACGAGCATGTAATATTGCTTCGTGACATAACGATGAAAATGCTTGATGACCGTGGACAATATCAATTCTTTCACGAAGAACAATATTTCGAAAGATTGGAAAGAATCCATATATCGTTGGTAATGTTGCTTCGGAATAGATAACCATATGCGGTACATAATATACCTTTAAGCCGTTGGTTAGATAACGAACGCCAGTGCGGTTTCCATAAGAATGGGTGATTATTATGACCTAAAAGGATAATTGTTATTTGAATTCGAGTAGGAATGGTGATTTCATTATTAGTATCGCACCTTGTGTCCACGATGGGTTAACATAAGTGATAATTGATATAAATGACTTTCTACTCCACCCATGTTTGGATAGAAGAAGTCCGATACCATTCTTTTATATATAAGAGAATCATTTATTAACTTGTTTTATAAACTTATTTCTTGAATAATTCATAAAAAAACTCACGCAATGTTATACATTATTTTTATAATGGAAGGATCGGTTTCATTACACGGCATGTCTTTTATAGTAACATAGCGATAGTGAACGATGGTCACATGATGATCGTCATGCAAAATCGAATTTTTTTTTTTATATGGCGGGACATCTCTAAAAGTTTAACTAAGGCTATACAAATTTAATTAATTGTTTCTCATAACCCGGCCGGGTCAAATTTTGAAAACTTTTGAAGGAAAATTTTTATATGTTTTAATAGCCGGGTGGGGTTTCAAAAAAATTTTTATGAAATTTTGTATATAAAATTTTTTAAAAAAAAGACTAATTTTGCATGGCCTAATAATAAATTTTAAAAAAATCTTTCTATATTAATATTCTTTGAAACCTAAAGAATATAAATATAGTGAGCTTTTTTTAAAAAAACCCTTTTATTAAAGGGTAGTTTTAGGCATCTCCCGCGGGAGATGCGTATTCCCACGAATTGCCCAATGATGAGTCAAAATTTCGTCAGAATTTAATGTAACGTAGCACAATCACGAAGATCAAAACAAACTTTCGTTTTTCAAAAATCGATTATTTCTCGAACATTTGCATAAGAAACTACCTTTCGTGCCCTAACAAAAATTTTTCCTTGAGCAATTTTACTATAAATATTAACCTTAACACAAACTCTAACCCTACCTTAAACGAATTTGGTTGTGGGAGATATATAATTTATATATATCCTGTGAGAAATGCCCTTTATTAAAAAGTTATTTTGGTTTAAAATCCCTTTAATTTTACTGTATATCAAATTTAAAAAATTTAGCACTTTATTTTACTAAAATTCAGCACTTATATATATATATAGTGCATCGTACATAGATATTAATTTGCAAATTTGTGAAACATACAAATCAAAATAATTTGTATAAAACCAAAAATTGAGTACAATTAAAGATTAGGATAAGGGTGAACTAGGGATAATGGTGGAGGATAGTTTATGCCAAAATTTTGCAAGAAATTTTTTTTATTAAAACCCAAAAGGTTGTTTTATAAACGAAATTTTGAATTATAATCGATTTTTTAAAAAAAGCAATAATTTTGCATTACATTTGATCATGTAATCTAATTGGTTTTCTTATTATCTGTGTATATACACATAGTGTACAAATAGAAATACTCATATATATATATATATATTTTTTATATTTACAATTTAAAAATTTCAGCGCTATTAATTTATTGAGTATTACTATTTGTACACTGTGTACATACATGGGTAATAAGAAAGCCAATTAAATTACACAATCAGATGTAACGCAAAATTATTGCTTTTTTTAAAAAATCGATTATAACTCAAAATTTCGTTTATAAAACAACCTTT